CGCCGACATGGGCCGCGGGGCCGCTCCGCTCCGCCGCCTGCTGCTGTCCCTGCTCATCCTACCTGCCGCGGGGACAGCCGGACCGGGAGCCTCCTTAACGCTGGGGGAGCCGGAGACGGCAGAAGAGCTGATGGAGTACCGCGATCCTTGCAAAGCCGGTAGGGAAGCGGGCTGGCTGCAACTCCGGGAGAAAGTTTGGAAGCACGGCGGTGGTGGACAGGTGTCCCTGCGGAGCGCTCCTCGGTGCCGCGGGGCCGCCCGGCCGGACTGTGCCCAGGCTCACCTGGCGGCGGCGGGAGCCCCCCGTCCCGGCCGGAGTCGCCTCGGCATCCCGGTGCCCTCCCGAACCCCGCGGACGCCCGGCGAGCTCTCCCGCCGCTCCCCGCCCGCCGGTGCGGGAGCGTTCTCGCTGTCCCAGCCTGTGCCCCGCTGTCCCCGTTGCCTGGGGGCTGCAGCCCCGGCTGGGAGGCTGTGCCTGGCTTTTTTTTTTTTTTTAAATCGCCCTCGACTCCCACATCTCTTCGTTCCCCCACCTGTCCCCCTCCCTCCCGTGCGAGATCCCCTCTGCAAAGCCAGGGAAATGTGCGGCCGTGCTTTGCATTTCGGGGTTGCCCCCGTACTCCCCCCCCCCCCCCCCCCCCCCCCCCCCCCCCGCCGCCCCCATTGGCTTTTTCTGTGCATTTTTGCAGCCTGTTGGCAGCTGTTCCAACTTGTCCCGAGCTCTGTCCGGCCCGAAGTTGCGGTGCGTGCCCTGGAGCGGCGGGAGCGCGGCGGGGCTCTCCGGGGCTCCCCGGCGGCAGGGAGCTGGTGAGACCCGCCTCAGGCATAGCCCGGCCTCCCGGGGGATCCAGGTACTCTAGAGCTGCCTGCGAGTTGCCGCATCCTCTTCAGGAAGCCTCCAGCTGCTCCCTCCATCCCCTTGAAGTTTTTCGTTCCCCTGTTAAAAATGCACTCGGTTCTGTGCTCGTTGCAACCCTTTTTATCCATTTCATTTCTTCAAGAGCTGCCGTTGTCCCTAATGTTGAATTCCCTTAATTTAAAGGGAACGTGGACCCAGGTTTTCTCTTTGGAAAACTGGGAGGTACTCTTGTTGTGACTGTAATTCTTTTTGGTTCCAGCTATCAGAGAATGTCATGGTCTCATGAATTGCTTCTCTGCTGGGAAATTGGCAACTGATACCTCGATTGTCGTGTTCCATTTACAAATAACTTTGTGCACAGTCCTGTTTTCTTAGTGTTGTAGGAGTTGAAAAAAAGCAGTTTCTTTTTGTGTGGTGTTCTTGGTCTTTTGGGTTAGGGTTTAGCCCCCCCAAATTTGCTTCTACCTGTTCCTTAGTGTCCCTTGGTGATAGCTTCCCTTGTTATCAGCTCTGTCCTGCCTGCTTTTGGGGGACTCGCAGCTGTATCTGCTCACATAGATGAGCTCTGTCAAGGTAACGTCTATCAGAGCCTCTCTGCCTGGTACAGCAAGTTTAACTGGCCTTGTATGTGGACTGAGTGTGGTAGGTTTTCTTCCAAATTTCAGCTCAGTCCTCTCCACAGAATATTTTTTGTGCAAAACATTCCCTTGATCAGCAAGTCATCTGTCATTTGATATATGGTTTGGGCTGTACTGTATTTGTGTCTCCTTCTAAATGGTAATGAATTGATCTCTCTCTTTCCAGTGGAACTAGTTGTTAATGGCACAGCTGTGGTTTAGACTTAGAGAGCTACAGGTACAGTGCTTTGGCCTTCCTATCTGAAAATGTTTCCTTGCTTTCTCCTCCAAATTATAGCAGCGTCTCCACTGTGCCTCACTTGCACTTGTGACTCTTGAGTGTTGCTGTCAGGTCAAATATGTGAAGGATGAGGAATGCTCTTTTAAGGACTACATAGAGAACATTTACTTTATTTGATTTCCCTACATCTGACAGGGAACCTGTGGCAGAAAAGGAAAAAAAAATATTTTCCCAAGCTTCCATTTACCTGCCTTTGCTGCAGGACCCTATTTTTTCTTTTTCTCCTGAAGTACCCCCCTCTCCCAAGCACTCTCCCTCTTGCTTCTGCATGCACACAGAGAAGACCCTGGACTGCCAATGACAGCCTCCCTTCGTTGTACATCAACGCCTCCTCTCATGGTGGGCAGAAAAACTTTGTGTGTTATTCCTGTTAATTCAGGCAGGATAAATGGCAGAAATTATCTTTATTTTCTGACTTCTCAGTGTTTGCTTCTCATGCTTTTCCAATGTCTTCTTTCCGATAGAAAGGGAGGAATGAACAAGACTTGTGGAGGTCACACGGGTGGTTCCTTTTCTGGAACTCAGGACCAAGCTGGTGTTTCTGATGGTGTTGGCACACAGCTGTCTGTGGAGGGGGCTGCCAGGCAGCCTAGCCCAGCATTGCTTTGGCTTCCTTGTCGTCTGACCTGAGGCTCCAGCACTGTAGTTTGAGTCTGCCTTTCTCACCCAGTCTGTGTGCGCATGGAGGTCACTGCTTTGCTGCAGCCTCTTGTACTGGTGAGCACTGGTGAGCACCGTTACCGGCTTTCTCAAGTTTCAGTCTTCTTTTCTGTGGAAGAAAGAGACTCCAGTTCTTTCAGTCTGTCCTGACTGGCTATGCTTCCAGAGTCTCTGATCCAGTTTCTCTCCATGTGGCTGCATCAACCTAAAGTGCAGAGCACTTAAGGAACAGGACACTCCTTACATGCCATGTACCTATCTCTGTGCACTGAATGGTTCCAGTTTTTAAAGTTAGCCCCAGGACAAACCAAACAAGACTTGTACCATGTGGACCTGTGTTAGACCCTGCTTTGCACTCGCAGCCTTTTTCCACTTCCAGTCCTAGACCATCAGTGGAGCTAGGCAGGTGTTCAGTGCTGCGAACACCATCTCAAAGGGTTAGTTCAGCTAGGATTAATAAGTGAAGAGATCTGTTTCTGCAAGTGAGACAAGGTGAAGACACTGTTGGAGTTGTCCCTCCAAGAGGGCCTGTCAAGGCTGTTGTCTAATGTCTGTTTGGGAAGTCTGTCACACTCTGTTCCTGATGAGCTATAACTGTGACAATTCTTCTTAACTTTCTTGGGCCTGAGTTCTTTCAGTCGTGGGACAGTGTCGGTATCTGTTGAGAAGCATGAGTGGAGAGAGGGCAGTGGTTGCAGACCTACTGTGGAAAGCTTAGGTGTCCAGTATGTTTTGTGAGGGAGAGTTTTTGATGGTCTGTGGAAACAGAGCTGGAACTGTGAGAGTTGTGGTGATGTTTCCATTGCTGCTGTAGGCACAGGCTCCTGTGCATGGTCTTGTGGCTGCAGATTGAATGCAGGCTCTTAGCCTGTTGTGAAGACAAAATGCTTACATGATTTCCAAAGCTGTTAAAACTACAGTGCTTTACATTTTTATTTTTTTTCCTGTGGGCTAATGGCTCTGACCCAGAGGCTGTGATGGATTTAGAACTGGCAGGTTATGACATGAAAGCTTGGCAGTTCCTCACCCCTGCAGCTCATGCCCTGAGGTTGAGTGCAGACTGGCGATGGTTGATCTGCTAGACTGGGAGTGAAAAGCCTGGCACACGCTCCTCTCTGTCGCATTAGCAAAGGATGTAATAGTCTCCTGCAGCAAGGCAGGAGGGACAGCACAAGGCAGTAACCTAAATCACTGCAACCACTGAGGTACTGGTATCAACACATGCCCAGTTACCAGGGCTCAGCTGATGGGACATCACTCCACTGCTGCTCAAGCTCTTAACTCGAGCCAACCACGATTTTCTTTTCCTAATGTGGCTGCTTTCCTGCCTTTTTATAGGGCAGAAAGAAAGGGGGAGATTCCTGAACGGCTGATCAAAGGGCATCTGAGACGGGGCTGCTCTGTCAGGTTGAGTTGCCAGGGAAGGTGGCAGTGCTGACTCTGAGGTAGGTTTTGCTGAGTGTTGCAGCAGGTCACTGGAGCTTTTCAAAGGGAACGGTACAAAGGTTCTGCCCAGATCTGCTCTGTAATAGATGAAAAAATGTCATAAGCCTGACATGTGCTTTGGATGGATCTGCTGCTCAGGGGATCCAATTAAGGACACCCTGCCCAGTGTGCAGGTCTGAGTGAGGCTGCGTGACAGGCAGACAGCAAGAGGAACTATGGATGCCTTCTAAACAAAACAAGCATGTCCTTCTGGGGCTCCTCAGGCAAACTGGAACCAAAGGAATTAAATAGGCTGTAATTTGTTCTGGTAGTTATTTTGGTGTGAGCTTATACAAACTTTAATTTGAGGTGAAAAGCAGAATCCCTGAGGTTCAAAGTGACCTCTGGGGATGATATCGTCCAGGTTATGTCAACAAGGGGAGGTGGGAGGTGTAAATAGGAAGGAGAGCTGGGCGCTGAATAACTTGTCCTCTGGATGTGTACAGGCTCGATGACCCCTTCCCTCCAGCTCAAACCTGCCACGAAGCCCTTTGCTACTTGCCAAATCAGCAGGGGTGGAGAAGAAATTTCAGTTTGGTCTCAGCATCTTGGTTCCTGGGTGCTTTGGCTCCTAGCATGGTACCTCCTGACCTTTTTGAGCTGGAGGTGCAGTGTTGCTTTCCAAGACCTGACGTTTCCCTCAGTATCTCGCCTTCCAGGGTCCATTGAGGGTGTTCTGTGTTGGAGTGCCATTTCTCTCTGCTCTGGGCAGTTTATTCTGGTGTGACATGTCCTGACTACAGGCTGACTGAGTCCGGACACAGGCCAGCCCACATGTCTTGACTCCCAGGCCAAATGCAGTGTTTCTCTGTGCATGTCTTTGTGTTAGGAGACTGGCAGAGCTGCCTGCCCAGCCATATGCTCCTGAGGCACAGGCCAAAAGGGTCTTGGGCTCCTGCTGCTTGTGCATGTCTCAAGAGCCCTTCAGGAGGGTTTGTGTTGCTGAGGAAAGCCAGACCACGGAGGAGTTGCATATAGGTACAAATGGGCCTTGCAAGCAAGCTCAGCTTCTTTCCGTGAGACTTTGATCTCTTGATGGCTTTTGCTTGCAGTGCCCTGAGTGGGCAGAGCCTGACCTGGGGAGGCTACAAAACAGAGCAGGACTCTGGCAGGAAGATAGCACCTAGAAAGAGAGTTAGCCCCTAAGGATTTTGTGGAGTACTTAGGATGTGAGCTCAAAAGAGGAAGAACTGAGGCAAGAGGTGTGAGGGGGCACCAACTGAGTAGTGGTCCCGT